ATCTCATCTGATTCAATTGCGAGGGGTCTCGACCTAACATAACTCATTGTCCTGATCGCAACGAAACCATCTGTTTGGCATTTGGAGGTCATTTGACCCCTTAAGTGACGCGTTTCGTCAATGCACATATTATTTTATTTATCAGTTTGAGTCCTTCCTCGCATGGTTTGATGTATAGGGGTCAACAACCGTAGAATCGTAGTCCAACGATGGTAGTCTCATGATTGGTTAGGTGGTGATCCGGTGACAAAGGTTAAGCAACATTTCAATAACGTGATTGGGTGAAGATCGAATGGCATAAGTCAACAGGACCCAACTAGTAATCTAATCAATGTCCTAAAGTTTTCAATTATGCTTCTACTGTTTGATTTAAGCTCATTCGCATTCGAATTGAACCACTTTTGACATCATTGGATTCATCTCGTTGAGACTTTCACTTTGACTATAATGGTCATGAATTTACTTTTGGAAGTTTCCAATTCAAATATACATTGAGATTCATGCCCAATATAGCTAGTTTCGATGATATGTATATATACATACAAGATTGAGGATGCCTTGCGATCAAAAATTTATCACAAAAATTAACTTTTGACACAAATTGATCCCAAACTGAAATTGATGAGTCTTACTTTAGTCAAGATCAAACTGCGCCAACCTATAACATTTGACTTGAATCATCATTAGACCTAACAACATAAAACAAATATGGAGCCACAATTATTACTTGTTAGCTTGGTTCTCGTTTAGACCGTCCACAGCCTCCCCACTAGGGGTGCAAACGAGTCAAGTCGAGAAGTGGTCTTATCGAGCTTGGATCGTCTGTCAGACAATTGGCTCAAACTCGAGCTTGAGCATGAGTTGTTGAGCTCGAAATGCAAGCTCAAGCTTGTCGCACTACAAATGGCTTGTCGCACTGCAAATGGCTTGTCGAACGGCTCGCGAGCCCACAATCGAGCGTGTTAGACTTTCCGCCCGATGCCTGCCAACGAGCCAACCAATGAAGGTAAATCACAGTGCTCCATTGGTATAAATCCATGGATGTAGAATCAGAGACCACTTAGAAGAATCAGGATAATAAGGAACCGTCTAGCCAACCAATGAAGATTTACCTTCAACATAACATAGATAATTAGTACTACTACTAGGCCCTAGGGCAATACACCGTATTCAAACCTATGTTTGATATCACCCTTTGAGGAATGTTTATCTATTATAGTCAGTATATATCACTTCTCGAAATTACATGGGGATCGCCGCTATTTATAACTACCAGTATAAAACTCAAATCTTCTGGGTACACTAATCCTTGTTAGAGCCTTCTTCAGATCTACCAGATCCTAATCTGTATCTAGGTGGTGCTAGTTGACCCTATTGGGATGAGGTTACCTGGAAGAGAACTTAGCAATTGACTATAGCAACGGATCATTTAATCAATATGCAGCTTCATGATTTTCCTTACGTCATTTGGTAAATGGGGTCTTTTATATATAATTGCCTCCTGTCTTTGCAGGAGAGTATAAAAGAGATCCCCCACTTTATAGAAATATATATATATATATTGCCTCCTATATTACAGGAGATATTTTCACATAACATCCTGTCAATTGGGGGTTTATGTGTAATATTTCTTTAGGTATTGGCCGTTAATTGGTGGCATAGGCCTTTGACCTGAAATGTCTATAAGTTGGTAGGCTCCTCCTTCATATACCTTCTCGATAATGAAGGGCCCTTCCCATATTGGGTCAAATTTACCACCGATGCGACGGTGGGGAATTATAGGCCTTTTACGAACTAATACAAGTTCGCCTTCCTTAAAGCTCCTAGGACGGACCATTCGATCGTGAGCCCTGGTCATTCGTGCTTTATAGATCTCTAAATTTTGTTGGGCATGAAGCCTAGTTTCATCTAGAGCTTCAAGTTCTTCTAATCTTAGAAGATCATTTTCTTCTTGGGTTAGTCCGTATTGTACGGCAACACGAAGTGACGGTAGTTCCACCTCGAGAGGTAATACCGCTTCTGTTCCGAAGACTAGAGAATATGGGGTAGCCTGTGTCGCAGTCTTATAGGTTGTGCGATATGCCCACAAGGCTTCAGTTAATTTATCATGCCATTCCCTCTTATTTTTAGAGAGAATTTTCTTGAGCAATTTCACCAAAGTTTTCTTAAATGCTTCGGCCAAACCATTAGCTCTCGGGTTATATATCGAAGAATAACGCCAGTCTATTTTATGGCGTTCAATAAATCGATAAATTTTGGCACTTTTCAATGCGGTACCATTATCTGATATGATTCGACGTGGCACCCCAAAGCGATAGACAATGTTATCCCGGAAGAATTTCATTACATTGTCCGTTTTCACTTCTCGTAGGGGAATTGCTTCAGCCCATTTTGAGAAGTAATCTGTAGCAGCAAGGATGAACCGATGTCCTAAAGAAGACGGTGGTTCTATAGGACCAATTATATGGGTACCCCAACATTCAAATGGCCAAGATGCTACTGTAGGATGTATTGGGTTAGGTGGTCGATGTATAACATCAGCGTGCACCTGGCATTGATGGCACTTCTTAGCATAGCCAAGACAATCTTTAACCATGTTAGGCCAATAATATCCCATGCGCTTAATTTTGATCTTCATTTTAGGTCCGGATTGATGTGCACCGCACAATCCTTCATGGACTTCGGTTATGACTTTCTGGGATTCATCAGGACCTAGACATCGTAGCCACATTTGGTCAAATGATCTACGATATAGTGTATTATTAACGTAAGCATATCTTAATGCCCTTTTGGATATTTGTAAAGCGATAGATTTATCGTCTGGTAATCTACCCTCTTTGAAATACGTGATGAATGGTTCTCTCCAATCACTCTCATCCGATATGTGAAAGCTCTCGAGCGTTTCTTTTCCTTCATTATCTTGTAAGGAAGCCGGAGCCAATGCATGTCTATTTTGGATAGTTATAAGGATTGGATTCTCTTGGGAATTTGCCATCTCCTTAGCAAGTTTTGCCAGTGCATCAGCTTTACCATTTTCACCACGTGTAATCCTAATTAAGGTTACTTCAGGTATTTGTTCTAGGAGTTTCAAGGCGTACTCACGATATGGGATTAGCTCGGGCTTGTGAATTTGAAAAGCACCATCTATTTGCTTAATTATAAGTTGACAAGGCCTAGAAAGGGAACTGAAATTGATGAGTCTTTTCACAGGAGGTGAACACAATCGAGCGTGTTAGGCGTACTCACAACTTCATCCTCTTCTATCATTTGGTCTGTTCGTCATTCGGGATTGCCACCCGATGCCTGCCTTCTGTCATTCAGAATTGTCGCCCAACGCCTGTGTTCGTCATTCAGAATTTCCGCCCGATGCCCGCCTTCCGTCATTCAGATTTGCCGCCCAGCGCCCGCATTCAATCATTTTAGGTTTTTTTTTTTATCGAGTCGCATTCGAGCAGCTCGGCTCACTTTCACCCGTACTTCCCACATACCGGACTTCTGCTTTTTATACAGTCAGATAACATAATCAAACATGAAAACAGTTCGAAATTACGAACTTCAATCTTAGGAAGAGAGCTATACAACCATAAAAAAGTGATAAGGAGACGAGCTTCAAACTACAGAAAGCTAACTCGATCATGGCGACACCAACAAAACAAAAAATATAATAAATAAAGGTTTTAAAAAAATCTATAAAGACCTCCAACAAGTGTTAAAGCTTAATCTCGGAAGTCTCAAAAGAAGTGAAACAGAAACTTATAGACTACGCATCTTCAATCAGCATAATACAAAAATACATAGAAATGTCACAAAGTAGTTAATAACTGGATATTTTCTAACTAACCCCTTAACACGCAAATAAATGGCCACTGAATCTAATAACAACAACATCATCATCATCAAGCCTTTGTCCTACTACGTGGGGTCGGCTACATGAATCATTTTTCGCCATTGGGTCCTGTTAAAAGTCAAATTCTCATTTAAATCTAATAAAGAAATATCATTTCTAATATTTTCTAACCAAATCTTTTTAGGTCTACCTCTACCTTTCTTAACATAAGTCAAATCTAATACCTCAACTTTCCTAACCGGATCATCGGAAGGCCTCCATTTAATGTGACCAAACCTTCTAAGACGACTCTCTCTAATCTTATCTTCCACTGGAGGTACTCCAACCATATCTCGTATATGCTCATTTCATATCCTATCTCTAAGGGTAAAGCCACTCACCCACCTAAGCATCCTCACCTCTGCAAGACTGCAACACTTAACTTAATATTATGCTTCTTTTTTAAAGGCCAACATTCAGCATCATAAAGCATTGCAGGTCTCACCACCATCTCAAAGAATTTTCCCTTAAATTTGAGAGGGACTTTTCTATCGCCCAACAAACCCGATGCATTCCTCCACTTCAACCATCCAACTTGAATTCTGCTAATAATATCCCCATCTATTTTACCATCACTCTGAACAATAGATCCAAGATATATAAAACGTGTACTCTTATTAATGACTTGATTGCCCAAACTCACAATCCCCACATTTCCAAGAGGATGTACCTTGGCCACTGAATCTAATACGAGTTTTAAATGAACTCACTAGCAATTTTGCTCAAAAAATTGCACATCTATTAACAGATGAAAATGACAGACCTCCCACAGAAAAAAAAAAAAGATTTACAAATGAAGAGAGAATCGTTGAGAAAAACAAGGCATACATTACATGATTGTGCAGCTTAAAAAACAAATGACAGAAAATTTGGAAATACATTAAATGGGAAAAAATTGCAAGAAAAGAGGATGATTATTCAACAGTTTCCTAGACTGAGAAATTTACTGCAATCACCCTATTCCAAAAGTTACAAAACAAAGTAAAGAGGCGTAGTATGGTTAAAAAACCTAAAAATGACACAGAAAAATAGCAGCCAGACAACAACTAATAACAAAGCCAAGCTGACCGAACTTGGCAAAAATCTGGCTAAACGTACTAACATGAGGTAGGTAAGGGAAATCCATTCATCCAGAAGCATATATAGATTGCATTCCTAATAACCAACAGATGTCCATCACTGAGTCACATTAGTTAAAAGGTATTTCAAAAAGACAGTAGAAATACATTTACATGTTCAAAGCACTCAAACATTTAACAACCTCTTTAAGTTAATAACACGATTTCAAGATTCAGATTGGTGGAGAACAAGCTTCACCTGAAGCTTGGTAGAGATCTTGCATCAAAAATATAAAGATGAATGATAAAGAGCAGGCAAGGCCGATTTTGGGTAACCATCATTAGGGACTGCCCTACCGGAAAAAGCAGAGCCCATCACCGACTCCGTTGTGTTAAACCATGACGAAGCAAGAGATCCACCAAGTCCAACAGAAATGCTGGATAAACTAGCATTGCCATGATTATAAAGGGATGGAGCCGTAGTAGACAAGGCATACGAGCCAGAAAAACCTGCATGAGGAGCTAGGTCAGCCCTACCAAGCTGTGTGCGATGATTATGTGCAAATGGAGCAGTTGAAGGTCTAGGACGCTTATTAGGTTGTTCATGCTGCTGCTTCTGTCCCCTAACATTTAAGTTAGAAGCAGCGATGGCAGTTGCTCCTCGCTTCTTTTCTGTCTTCTGATTTTCCAATTTCTTTTCAGGTTTCTTTCCTGCCTTCTGATGTTCCAACTGTTCAATACGCTTCCGAACATTCTCACAGCTAAATACTGACCCTAGCTTGTACTCCTCTACAATTCTGATTACTGCTCTAAGTGCAGAAATTTCCTTTGAAGAGGCTTCATTCTGTGGCAGATAAAAAAGAGACGATTTGGATGTCACAGCAGCATCGCTACATTAAAAGTTCTGCACATATTTGTTCAAAACATACCTTGGATTGGGCAGAATTATTTCCCTTCTTCCGCACTTCTTCTGCAGCCTTCTTTGATTCCTTTATACAGGCATTCAAAAGCGAGGCAGGTGGGTATTTGTCCGTTAAATTGAAAGCAATGACAAATTTGACAGCATCTAGTTGCTTTCCTTTATTATTTAGTTTTTCAACCAAATCTGCCAAGCAAAATGCTTGAAGGTGTCATTTTCCACTGAAAAGTGGGGAAAAGATACCCATGATCGGGATCTAATGTAAGCATTACTACTATAGATTGAAGTTCGAGTACAAACAGCAACAGCTGCTCGGTTATTTCACAAGAAACACTAAGTTGAAAAAGAGAAGCCGAATAAATCAAACAGATAACCAGCAGATAGCTCTAAGATGCAAAATAACAGCTCTCAGCTGTAAACCATCTCAAAAGAGATTATGTTGTTATGAGATGTCACCAATGCGGCACAGACAAATAGAAATGTAACCACATTACTACCAGCCGGCTAAATGGAATATCTCATGGAATAACGTGACTTTTTAGGGTATACACATTAGCTCATTAGATTTGCTATGTTATGAGGCTAGGAACAATTTAGGTTTACACAGACTAAATTTAAATAAAAAAGATACAACAACAACATCAAGCATTTATCCCACTAAGTGGGGTCGGCTACATGAATCCTTTTTCTCCATTGTGCCTGTTAAGAGTCAAATTCTCATTTAAATCTAATAGAGAAATGTCATTTTTAATATTTTCTAACCAAGTCTTTTTAGATCTAACTCTAAATTTCTTAACATAGGCCAACTCTAATACATCTACTCTCCTAACAGGGTCATCAAAAGGCTGTCGTTTTACATGACTAAACCATCTAAGGCGACTATCTCTAATCTTAGCTGTCACTTGAGCTACTCCAACCTTTTCATGGATATGCTCGTTTCGTATCTTGTCTCTAAGAGTAAATCCACTCATCCACCTGAGCATCCTCATCTCAGCAACACTTAACTTAATATTATGCTTCTCTTTTAATGACCAACATTCTACGCCATAAAGCATTGCAGGTCTCACCACCATCTTATAAAATTTTCCCTTAAGTTTGAATGGTATTTTTCTATCACACAACAAACCCGAAGCATTCCTCCACTTCAACCATCCAATTTGAATTCTAAAAAAGACATGGTCCAAAATTTCACCCTCATTAAAAAATTTAGATTGTGGTTTGAGAGTTCCCATGAACATAGATCCATATGTAAATCAACTCTCAAGATTGCAGGAGATAACTTTCAATTAGAGATGCCCTAAGACTCAACTTTAAATTTATCTTGTAAAATGGCTTAACATAGTCATTGTAAAAGCTTGTCTCTATGAGTAAGAGTAAATGGTGGAAGGTCGTAAAATTTATCAAAGTCGCATTGTTCCCTAGTTCAAGGTTTTCAGGACATATTGGCTTCGCCTTCAGTTCCCTGTTAGGAAGTATGAGTTCCCTCGTCCAATGTGGACCCATAAGTGAAGGTTAAAAGCATGCTAAAATACCAATTTCAATGTGCATCATGATAAATTAGGGATTTATGCCTTACAAATGGACCAAGCAGGTAAATATGCACAAAGCAATGGACTCAAAGGGGAAATGTTTAAGAGTATAAATTATATGGCTGAAGGCTATATTTAGTGAAACCACTTGCTTCAAAGCATTTACTAGTTCCTTTGAATCATTTAAACAAGCACAGGTGACTTGGCCAAATTAAAATAACATGTGCCTTTTTTGTGAATCTATTTTTGTTACCTTAACATATTTTTAAGTGGATAGACTGATGGCTGGCAACTCAAAGCAAGAAGAATTTTTTTTTTTTTACTTGGGTGGAGATTGTCTCTTAAATCAATAAGAAAGGGAAAGGGATTCATGTGCCCTTCTCTTAAAAACTACGTCGCCCTAATGCTGCAGTCTTTTTCTAGTTCTCTTCAAATGCACCAACGCCAATGCATGCATGCTGAGGAAGATTGAAGTATCAAGACTTCAATGAGCATTTCAGGAGAAGTTCGGGGCTACATGAATCCGTCATCTTGTCTCAATCCTTTAACTGAGCAGGAGTTCCACAATACGCTTCCAATGTGTTTGGTTATCTATTAAGGTCTTAGTATGCTCGTCAATAAAGGCGCAAAGCCAGGACCATCAATTATTGATTCTACTTAAATAGTTAGATTGGCACACAAATGAAGTTGGGTTCAAATGAATAAACTCCACAATAGCGCCTACAAGAGTTTATAAATTTTATAGGAGTGGAGTATGATACATCTTGGAAGTTCAAGCAGCAAAAGAAATAAGTAGAAACTACAGGACTACGAAAAAATGCGGGGCTGATTTTTTATCCTATCTTCAATAAGAAAGAAATATACAAGTAATCTACTACTTGAGATGTAGATTAGCTCTCCCACAAACCATAAACGCCACTAAGAACAACTCCTAAGAAAACTACAGCAAACACAAATCACATAATGAAAATAAAAAAACCTAATTAACCTTAAATAAACCATCATATTTCCCTCCCAAATCTGAATTCAAATCAGCCATCTTTCCCCTAATAAAACCTTTCTAATTACCTCCCAAATCTGAATTCAAATCATCCTTTTTTTCCTAAATAAAACCTTCCTAATTCCCTCCCAAATCTGAATTCAAATCATCCCTCTTTTTTTAAATAAACCTTCCTAATTCCCTCCCAAATCTGAATTCAAATCATCCCTCTTTCTTAAATAAATATTTTCTAATTTCCTCCCCAATCAAAATTCAAATCATCCATCTTTCTAGAAATAAATTTTCCTAATTATTTTCCCCCTATTTCTCCTCCTTACATAGTGAATATTAACTCCCGTTGGGCCCGCCAAGAATATCAAAAAGTTAGTCCAAAAGAACACATTGTACCTACATATTTTACTCTATCACCTTCTTTGAATGTGCAATTCTTTGAAGAAGGCATTGATGACGGCTGTTTTGGCAAGGAATGACAATTTAAACTAGATTCTCCCACGATATCAACTTCCACACTGGAAGTTGGTCTTCTAATATGAAAAGTGTCAGCTAACGTAGATTTCTGTTTAGTAAACTCGCCTGACTTCTCTTTGTCAAGAAATTCTTGGTACATTTTGTATGCAATAGCAATGCAAAGATTCTTCAAATCACTTCCAGAATAATCATTTGTTGCATTAGCTAAATTGTCAAATCTAAAGTTAGGGTCAAGGTTTTCTTGCTATAGAAACATCTTTAAGAATTTCATTCAATTTTCAGCATTCGGAAGGCCTACATATATCCTTATTGGAAGATGGCATATCCAGTATCGTCCTAATCAAATGATCTATTTGTTGCACCTAGGATAAGAATCATTTGATTGTCCTTGATCATTAAACCATCCCAAGCTGCCATGAATTAATTTCGCATTCTTCTTGATGCAAGGCACCACCACGTGCACCAAGTAAGCTATCAACCTCATTTACGAAAAATAATGACAGGCGCTAGTCGAGATGCAAAAGAAAAGAGCGCTGTGGTGAGCTTCTTAGCCTCACGCAAGCATTTTGATGTAAGAGTAGATCTACTATTCGAAAGGTAGAACAACTCTCCCACAAATCCTAGACGCCGTTAGGAACAACTCCAAAGAAAACTACAGCAAACACAAATCATATAATGAAAATAAAAAAATCTAATTACTCTTAAATAAACTATCATATTTCTTCCTCAAATTTGAAATCAAATCAGTCCTCTTTCCCTTAATAAAACCTTCCTAATTCCCTTCCAAATCTGAATTTAAATCAGTCCAATTTTCCTAAATAAAACCTTTCTAAATCCCTCACAAATTTGAATTCAAATCAGCCATCTTTCCTTAAATAAACATTTCATAATTACATCCCCAATCTATATTCAAAGCAATCATCTTTCCCTTTCAATCTATATTCTCCCCTGATTTCTCCTCCTTACAAAGTAAATATTAACTCCCGTAGGCCCCACAAGGTGGGCCTCCCCAGGGTATCAGAGTAACAAGCTAAAAAAGGGTAGTTGATCAATGCCTCTAGATAAATTTACTTGGGAAGGATTGTAAACTTTATTGTGTTTAGGGCATAATTTTGGACATAGTGATTTTTCGAACCGAGGGAAATCACCCAAGATCATTAAATCAATTGGGAACGATCGATCAATGGTTTGAATTTCAAGATCAATCAAGACAAACCAAGTCAAATTGGATCTTCAACAAAACAACCATCTCCACCAAGTTAAAAGGGGCAAAGCATAATCCAAAGGGTGTCTTCAAGCAATCAATCATGCTAACCCTCACTTCCAGAAGGAACAAGACCAAATTGGGTCCAACCACTTTTACAAAACATATAAATTTCTCCATATTTTGGGAAATTTAAGCTGTTTAAACAATTTTTTAACAGAAAAATAGGAAATTGTATTTTAACATTAGGAATATATGGATGTCGTAGCATACTTCTTTTGAATATTCATGAATTTTTATGCATGGGTTTTAAAATGATTAGTATCTGCAATTTTTGGAATAGTTATGCAACTTTTGACATTTTATTGTGGTATGTTTACAATTAAAAAATATGTTAAGTGTCTTTCTACGTTATTCATATTTAGTCAACTAGGGCTAATGTGGCATTCCATTGATGAAGCAAAACAAAAGAGTTCGAAAAAGATGATACATGACAAAGTTAGGATTGCATACTAACATAATATGTCGGTGTCGCGTGAAATTGTGCATGGCATAATGTTGTCACATGGTAATAACATGGTCTAATAAAATATCAACACGAGGTTGATACGGCAAGGCTAGACAAGAAAATAAAGGAGGTTAAGGGGGTAGGGCACAGCAGGGAATTAATATATTATATTAAGGGGAAATCAATTAGGAGATGGTTTGGTCACATTAAAAGGTTGTTGTTGTTGTTGCTGCTACTGCTGTTGTTTTATTTTATTGGTTGAACCTTGTAGATCCTTTCCTAATTGAATTATGTTCAAATTAAGAAGGGAGATATATAAGGAAGGGGGCTGAATTAGGAAATCCTTTCCTAATGAGATCATTTCCTAATTGAATTATTTTAAAATTAATGAGAGAGATATATTAGGAAGGGGTTGATTTATGAGGGAGAGAGGAAGCCTATTCAAGTCCATAGTATGGCTTATTTTATTCTTATGCA